GAACGGTCAGATTGCATTATTTTATGCGATGCTCAAAATGTTGTCCACATGGTCCGCAGTGAAACATAATCACATCTCAAATTAGGTTTTGCCCTTCACCGACGTTTGAACACTGTATACTCAGTGCGTTACCTCCCGAGTGAAAGTTTGAAAAAATCACTCGGGTGGGACTCGAACCCACGACCTCCTGCTTTCTAGTGCAGATGTCTTACCACTCGACCACCGAGCTAACGGGATCGGTTGGCTGGTGCGAATCTGATGTACATAGCAGCGGGTACCGCATAAACTATTATAAGATGGAATTTTGCGTCGGGGTGATATAAATCAAATTAGGTTTTGCCCTTCACCGACGTTTGAACACTGTATACTCAGTGCGTTACCTCCCGAGTGAAAGTTTGAAAAAAATCACTCGGGTGGGACTCGAACCCACGACCTCCTGCTTTCTAGTGCAGATGTCTTACCACTCGACCACCGAGCTAACGGGATCGGTTGGCTGGTGCGAATCTGATGTACATAGCAGCGGGTACCGCATAAACTATTATAAGATGGAATTTTGCGTCGGGGTGATATAAATCAAATTAGGTTTTGCCCTTCACCGACGTTTGAACACTGTATACTCAGTGCGTTACCTCCCGAGTGAAAGTTTGAAAAAATCACTCGGGTGGGACTCGAACCCACGACCTCCTGCTTTCTAGTGCAGATGTCTTACCACTCGACCACCGAGCTAACGGGATCGGTTGGCTGGTGCGAATCTGATGTACATAGCAGCGGGTACCGCATAAACTATTATAAGATGGAATTTTGCGTCGGGGTGATATAAATCAAATTAGGTTTTGCCCGCTGCTATGTACATCAGATTCGCACCAGCCAACCTTATAATAATCACATCTGGTATGGAATGTGCGCATTTCTATGGGAAGTTTTCGGATAGCATTTGCGCACATTGTGTAACTGCGGTCTTGAACAGCTGCAGCCCGATGCTTTATACATAGTTCATAGGCCACTTCCTTATTCACAAGATTCTGTGAAGCTCATCAGCGTATCCCAGCGTCCTGTTTGCATAGCCTTTAGTCAAGGCCCACGCGTCTTGATCCGGACACGTGACGCACCCTGGGCGTTGGCACGTAAAAAGACTACCCCGCGAGCGGCTTTGCCGCTCGCTGGATAGTCTTTTTACGTGCCAGCATCCGGGGCGCGTCACGTGTCCCGGATCAAGACGTGTGGGCCTTGACTAAAGGCTATGTTTGCAGAGGGGGTACGAGCGAAACTCGAAACCATTTTTTTTCTCCAGGCGAGTGTTTTTGGAGAGGGCGCCCTAAGGGCCTGTGATAAAAAAAAGTCCAGAATCTGGACTATTTTAGGACGCGCGTGGCTTTTTTATTCTATCTACCCGGATGCGCGTGCACCCCGGATGCGCATGCTTGCACAAAATTTTAAAACAAAAAATGTGGGTCTAGTTTTCCACGAGATCGTGACCGCGTAATTGTTCTTTCATCATCTAATTTTAATTTTATAAAAGTATTTCAAAAAATTATTTAAGGGTATGAACTTATTTTTTTTTCATCTGAACTTATAGTTATTTCCTCTTACGTTTTCCATTACTCACCCTTCTTTCACAAATTGAAGCAACTAGGCAAAAAATGCGCGTTGTGATTGGTTAACCTTTCAGCACTCTACATAAAAAATATGAATAATTCAACAAAATCAAGTTAGAAAGGGCCTCGTGGCTTCGCCACTCGTACGTGCTGACTTTAATCTTTGCTCCAGTCGCTTCGTGCTTTCGCAGCTCCGCCGCTTGACAAAAGGCTAGAACATGCTCACTCGACAGCTTAAATCCACTGAGTGACAAAGTAGAGTACTGAAGCCGAAGGGGTAGATAGTCTTTGTAATACCACGGCGAATGCCGTGCGTAAAGGTCTATGATTGTGAGCAGATTCGATGATTAATTAGGCAAGACAACCACCTCTTGACCTCTATATTTTGACCAATCAGCGGGCGCTTTCTATATCGGGCCCGTCTTCGGTCATCATCACCCGTTGCGCGTCATAGACAATGGATAAAAAAAAATGTGTCACGCGCTCTGTATCATGTTACGCGATATCGCGACTGGCTTTTGTTATATTACAAACACTGCATTCGAATTGACCAATCAAACCATTTAGTCCTGAATTAGGAATGAAATGACGTCACGATTTAGTAAAGTCGACTCCGATTGGCTGGCATCAGACGTTATACAGAACTGGGCTCAATCCGTAGATACGGGTGATACTCAACTAAGGGGAAGTGGGGAAGAAGGGAAAGATGCAGGGGGAACATAGGAGAGTGGTGACGATTGTAACAGGGTATAGGGGGGGAAGGGAGGGCAGGATTTATTAGTGATACGAATTTACTGGTGATATGAAGTTTTGACTTTTTTATTTGGTGATTTTTTTGATTTTTTTTTTAATAGTAACCCAATGAACACTAGTTTTCTCGCAAGATGTTATCATAGAGCAAATTTGGGCCCACAATTTCAACAGAAACGTCGTTTTTGGCACTTAGTATTTAAATTCTTAGAGTTTAGGCACTCTTCTGATATGAAGACGGTGACAGCATATACTGACTGGAACGTCGAGTTTATACCTCTGGTTTCTTTCAGAACCATTCTCTTAGTGTAAGATGATTCCCACATGGTGTTTCTGCAAACCTTTCATTCATAAACAGAAAACCCATGAACAGTACGGTACGAGTCAACCTCGTCCCCAGTGCCTACCTTATTTCCAACCTCGTTCAAACTTTCTTCCTATCCTGATTCGATACCGCAATTGGCTAGAAATGGATTTATATCCGTATACTTGGTGTTGTTATTCACAACGTGCAGTACGTGTTTTCGCGATCATTCGTCCACGCCTTCTCGAAAATATTCATTTCATTCCAATATGTCCATATTAATATGAAATGTGATACTGCATGTTGTCTCGCAAATATAGGACCAGTTAATTAAAATAAAATCGAGTTTCGTAACTTACGCCATGCTCGCGCTGCGAGGAATTGATTTTGTTTATACCCCAGACACCAACAAACGCAAATGTAACGCATAGGCAGGCACCTGACAATTCCTCATTTGCATACGTGTTCAAAAATCTTGCACATGCAAATGATCCAATGCCAGGATGAGAGAGCAGGTAGTGGTGGGCGCGTACTGCTCGACGCCCTGGGGACGAGGTTGGGTACGGGTCTTCCTGAAATGACATCACATTAATGCCGCCCTCATTTGACTGGGAAAAAAACATGGGCAATTTTTAATGTTTAAAGAAAGGCACTTTTGTCTTTTCAACACTATTTACCCCAAAAGGATGTCAACCAAAAAGCTGGTGTTTACTTCGTCTCTATCCCCCTCCTCCAAGGCTCCAACCTCTACCCACCCCACCCCACGTGTACATTTGCCCCTATGGTCCCTCTTTTGTTTGTACTCCCATATGTTTTGTACACGTCGCCAAATTGGGGACCTTCGGGAATTGGGGACCCTATTGTCCTCTACTGTTCGACGTTCCCTATTGAATGCAAAAACAAACTCACACACACACTCTAATTACTATCATTTGATTGTTGATTGATCATTTTCGACAGATAATATGCAAAAATAAATCAATGTATTCCTTTATTCTTCCTTCAAATGCATACAACGAGTCAAATGAATGGATCGCGGAGGGAATCCTACTCACATTCAAGTCACAATCAAGGGCGGATCCAGAACACAATTTTGGGGGGGGCCAAAAAAAAAATTTGGTCCCCCCCAAAAAAGTGGGTCTAAAAAATTACGGCGTGGGGTTCGGGGCCCGTGAGGTCCCCGAAAATTTTTTGGATTCTAGATGCTCTGTGGTGCGATCTGAGGCAATATCTGACCACTTTAACCAATTTTTTTGAGGAAAAGATGGTGGTGTACTCATTGCCTGCCTTTATTGCGATGTCACATTAAAAAAAAAAAAATTGGTTTCGTTTTTGGGGGGGGGCCATGGCCCCCTTTGGCCCCCCCCCCCCCTGGATCCGCCCTTGGTCACAATAGGGACCATTAGAAATAGTTCGTCTACCGGAGACGCATGCGGCTCAGAAAAATCACCTATCATATTAAATCACCGTGTTACGTTGTTCTTTTCATCGTGCACCTTCCTGGCAATGTACATGTAACATAAAAAAAAATGAATTGTGTTATGTACGTCTGGTGAAATCATGACCCAAAATTAACGGTCATTTTTTTCGAGACGCATATACGTAATTACGTATCCCTTACACCTAAGGCTCCACTGTACTAATTCAAGCCCCATTGAAAACATTGTAAAATCAACAAAATTCAGGGCCAAATAACATGCAAGCCAACATCACTGGGGTTTCTCAAACAAAAAATAACTTATTGTCTTGTCTTTCATCTTTTCATTTCTTTTAAATTTTAGGTACATTAGCCAATTACATTTTTTAATATTCACACCCAAACAAAATCACCTCCCGAAAAGTGATAGTTCCCAAGCCTACATGTAGCCATTTTACAAGTGGCATCCTTCCACTTTCACAGGCAAATAGGACCCACTTTTCATCCGTAATTTTATCAAGCCTGCCCTCAGATGGAAGCCCAAAAACCAGGGAGTTGATCCTTGGGTATATTTACACAATTCCACCGTTTTTAAAGCCAAACGGTGTCCGTTTTCAAAAGAAATTATGGGGGGCACTTTTTATGCTAATGACTCGCGTAGAAATTCTCACTTGAACTAGTTCAGTGCATCCCTAATATTTTGCAGTGTAGTGCAGTCATGGTGTACGTACGAGATTACGTCCTTTCAATTGCCCTTTATTCAATGCCCTTTGAATAGTTTATAATGACCTTTGGGCCCCACTGCTTTGTCAGACCTTCCCATTACACATTGGGGGTGGTGAAGGGCACATTCTACAATGTTTTCAATCAAAACTAACTGTCACAAGGAAAGTCACACCTCCTTTGTAATGGTACGTTCTCGCGGAAGTCACTAACGCTCAGGTATGGCTTGTGTACAAACAGCATGGAATAAGACCGTGGCACCAAATTAATCTCATGACTCAGTTATGTGTATGGCGGTGTGTATGGCCAGCTTGATGGTAAATGTTATTTTTTTCGGTGGGATAATTACACAAATTTTGCTTAGGCTGTTGGAATTTCGAAGTGGAATACAGATGCACACTAACGCATCACATACATGTATAGACTGAATCATTAACAGCTACAGAGCCTCACGTCAGGAGTAGCGAATAGTTCTCGTGACATGTAGCCTAGAGCTACTAGTACTAGAGTGCTCGCTCGCTTAACCGTCGTGATAACGCCCCTCTTGGGCAAGCTAGCATCAGGTAAATTATTATAGGCGGGATAATTTAAAAACCTTCAGAAGCCGACGTCTATATACTGGCCGGAGTTTCGAAGTAAAGTGGATACCTGCATATGCACCACCTGGACTGAAGATTGGTCGCTAAAATGGCAAACACTGGAGCCTATCTCCTGCCCGGAGAACGTAGGGGTGGCCTGGTTCTCGTATATGACGGATATCGATACCAAAGGAACAAAATAAGTGCAGGTACAAAGGTCTACTGGAGATGTACGGATAAAAAGTGTAGAGTCCCTTTACACACCAATGATTTCGGCTCAGGAGAAAATATCGTTGTTCTAGACAACCAGCAGCCGGAGCATGCACATCCTCCGGAACATGGCAGATTGGATCGATTCCAGTTCATACGAGAAATCAAGAATGTCATAAGAAGAGAACCCTCGCTTCCAGTCAGAAGGGCATACGACGAGGTCACCTCAAGATTACCACACGCCCAACGGATAAACTTTCCTGACTTTGATGGAGTTAGGACCTCGCTGCTACGATTCAGGGCAAGATCTTGTCGTCCTGTTGCCAGTCAATCCGTCGACATGGCGGACATTCATGGCGCATGGGCCGAGACCTTGGGCGGCCAACGAGAGCTGCTGGCAATAGATAATGCTATCGGAGTAGCCGTGTTTGCAAGCAGGAGAGAGCTTGAAGTTCTTGAGCAATGCAGTGAGATTTTCATTGACGGAACATTTCACACAGCACCTGCCCCCTTCACACAAATTGTTACAGCATATGGCCGATACCGTGGTTTGATCCTACCTCTTTCGATTAGTTTGGTGACTAATAAACGAGAAGAACAGTATCTCTACGTACTGCAAGCAATCAAACGAGAAATTATTGCCATCACAGATCGTCCGCTCTCTCCAAGCTTGGTCATTACGGATTTTGAAGTGGATCTCATCAATGCAATTGGAAAGGAGCTACCACATGCGGATAGCAGAGTATGTAAGAGCCCATGGAGGAAGCTGACAGAGCTTGGCTTGGAAGGCCCCTACCTACGAGACCCAGCCTTGCAGAGAGTGGTGGGAAGAATGCTAGGTTTTGGCTACCAACTCCCCATCCCACATGTTGCCTTGAGTTTCGAGTGAGTAGGCCTATTTATTATACATTCAATTTGACCGGTTCAGCTTAAAACTCTTGACTTTTAAGTTCTTAAATATGTGGTCCGGCGCCTGTCAATTATGAATCGTGTTACCAATAAAAATATTTTTTCATACATGTACATTATATGAGATATTGCTTCAATTCAACATCGAATTATTGTTCCTTTTCGATAAATATGCCTGAAATAGTACACAAGTACATACTGCCATGCAAGGCGCTGGCATTAAGCTAGGTGAATATAATTTTCCTGGGGTGCCCCGTGCAGCCGAGGGCAACATCGATACTCGAATATTGACAGTATTATACAATGTACGTGTATACATATGTCTTAAATCCGTCACCTTTCTCCCCCCCCCCCCCCCCCCCACACACACACACAGACAAAGTCGTGTTTGTTTTTCATACGCTATGTCGACATTCCTTTGCATTCGTGTAGTTTATATAAAAATAACTTTACTTAAACTGTGAAAACTCTTTCAACCCCAAATTTGTTTTTTAATTTCCTTGAATGTTTCTCTTCATTCTGCGACCGATAACTCTTACCCGAAAATGCCTGTTTTCCAGAGAGGGCAAAACATTATGTGGACACGGCTTAGTCCACATAACGTGAACACAACCTGCATTATGTGGACATCTTTAGTTCACATGTCCACATAGTGACTGTAAGACAAACTCATTAATTTTTGTTTATGGTGTAAATCGAGGATTTTCTATCGTCCCTCTTCCCTTTTCCTTTGTTTATACCTTAACTTTTTTGCAACAGCTCTCATTGGTTTTGTACACGTTTTCTAATCATGGTCGTTCTCGATTTGGTTCCAGTCCTCGATTCATCGATGATGTTGCACGTGTGTGTCCTCGATTTACACCATAAACAAACGCACACACATGGTCATCTACACCCCGTGTAATTTAAATTTGAATGATCCATGTGTCAGAATTTGAATGCATGATTATATTGTTAACTTATACGACTGAAATGTTAAATCATGCTTTTAAATAAAATCGAATGATATGTTTATTTGAATGAACAAAAGTTGCTTGTGTTTGCATCGTATGCCTAACTCCGAGCGCGTCTGTCGGTATAAGGCTGGCCGCCTATTTCTCAAACTAAATACACAAACAATGTCAAAAATCGAATTGAATGAAACGGGATTGAAGAGACATTCATTTAAATTCGTCTGAAAATAAGCGACCAATCTGGCAGAGGTGAATGAACGCTTTGTGATTTTGGCCGGGAAATCCTATATCCACGTAGTCTACATATTATCTGGTAAGGATTTAACAGTATATTGAAAGTATTTTACTTCATTTGTCCTAATCCTAGAACATGCACCGATGAGACACGAGTGCAGGAGGTTGTACAGCAGTACCCCCAACTTCAACAGTACTTTGAATACGTAGAACAGACCTACATTGGTGGGCCAGTGTTTCATGTTCCGTTCACAACTTACATGTTGAACCAGAACCAACAACCATGTACAGGGTAAGTTCATATTATTCGAATGATTCATTTTGTTTTATACTGACTTCATTAATTCTTGCCACCGGTGAGTAAAGAGGATACGCTTAAACAGAGATTAAACTTAAAAGAAGAAGCAACGTTCAGATTTGTTACAAACATTTTGGGACGTACAAGCTTCTATCCTTGTATGAAGAACCTGGAGGCACTCCCACATAATGTGATTGTATTAAATGACGCATATGTGCCACCTCAAGCAATCTTTGAATATAAATCCACATGGAATACTTTATATGTGGTCACTTCCATCTGGACAAAGAGCTGTGTTCGGTGACTAAAAAGGTACTAAGTTCAACTGGTGACATCGGAAAAAATAAGTAATCTCTCCTCATAGTAATAAGTAATTTGGCGAATAATCAAAGTATCTCGCCTTTCGGACAAGACGTTGCCCTTCCGTCACACAGTATTACGAGAGTGCATTATTCATTGGGCAATATCGAAAGTTATGGTGAAAATATCTTCCGCCCGATGTATGCTCGCAACGTAATAACTCCCGACAAATTGCGCCTGATAAGTTTCTCCGTCCACAAGGTGACAATTGTGGAGAGTTGTATTACATCACTATGATGAAAAGGTGCTCAGAATTTTATAAGAGAACGGGAAAGAGATGCAGTATCTGGAATTCAGACTCTACAATTCACAATTTTGTAACTGATTACAGTGTATATACTATCAATTAAACTTACTAGTGCATTCTTATGTGTGTTTAATAGCCTTCTTCAGCACATGGAGCAAACTGTTAATGGCTCCCCATCCCAATCTTGTCAAGTGGAGCGACATGACCCTCAAGATCCGCAGAACCCACAGAGGAGATCGTCAGACAGACGAGGGCGAAGAAGAAACCTCGAAGGCAGGGTCAAGCGCCTTCATCGGGCGTGCCAGCGGTTACCGCTCGATAGTCCGAAGGTTCGTTATGTATACAGCAAGGGAGGCTATTTCATTAGTCCGAAGGTTCAATAATCCAAAGGTTCGTTAGTCACGAAAGCAGAATAGCATTACATAATCAGAAGGTTCTATAGTTTGAATCAACAAAAGGGTCCAATAGTCCGCTAACAAAAAGGGCCTCTGTCAATTTGGACTATTGAACCTTGCGTGCTTTTGGGGATTAAAGAACCTTCGGACTAATAGCAAATCGATGCCTCATCAGGCATGTATGGGCCAGAGTAATAAACAAACCCACAATATGCTAATGTTGGCGCGCCGGTTACTTCATTCTGTTGCATAGCGTATCGTACGGCAGGTCTGTATTTTACCAGACAATTGTGATGAAAGTTTAAGCATAAATGAAGTCAGGGAAGGATGCACACCTAAAGGGAATGAACGAACAAATAATGTGGGGGAAGTAAAATGGAGATAGGCCCACTAGGCCACACTTACCATACAATAGCACCTGCTCTTTTGTGTTATGGAGAAGAGATGGGAATTTACTTAATGGATTTATTTTTTTAATTGGCAGGTGCAAGACCATGGCCAGGCGCGATGAGGCGGCTGAATGATGACTCCTTTGAGACATTCAGGATGTGGAAAGTGCAGAACCACATAAGAATATTGAAGAGAAAATGGCTTACAGGACCTCAAATTAGACCATGAGCTTGTTCTACATCGGCTTTTGTTTCAAATGTGGTTACTGCATGGATCAAATGATGGATCCCTTTTGAGATTGACACGAGAAATGACACGCTGACACAGATTAAGGAACCGACCCTAGTGGCGGGGGTTTGCTTTCATTTCATCCCATGTTATTATATTCATGAGGAATAGCACGCATTACTAAACACGAGACACCATGCAAATAGTGTGAGTTACAACAAGGTCACAAAGAAACTATAAGCACAATATTGGCAACAACCCTGAATGGCAAAAGGCAAGCCAATGATTTTTTTGCTATCACGTACAAGAAAAACAATAACATGCACGTATAAATGCCAGTCTTATCGAATAATTGCTGCTGGCAACATACTGGTATAGATCATATTTACAATACTATTAGGCAATTTAGATACGATACTAAAATTAAACTCTATACATGTACATGAACAAAATGATTAGGGTACGTGATTGTTAATTTACAATGTGTTGAGATGTTAATCCAGAAGATGTTAATCCAGAAGTCGACATAAAAATTCTTGTAGTAACCAAGCAATAACACTTGAAGTGATTCTCCCATTGAATGTGGTAGGCCTGTATTCTGGAATACATTTCAGTTGTACATTTCATTTCCACCATCATTTATTTCGAAAACATCGCCAGTTAGCGCCATAAATTGTGAAGAAATCCACGAGTGCATAATACCTATATGCGTTGCCGGGCTGACATGTTTGTTATTCAAAATACAATGTAGCTGTCATGTACATGTAGATCGAATGCCAATTGAACCTTGAGTTCATGTCGGACTATTGAACCTAATATACCCTATTGTAACCTTGAGGCAAATGAACCTTCTGATTATCGAACCATCGGCCTCCATGGACTAATGAACCTTCGGACTATCGCACCAGCTGTTCATTTTCTCACTAATGAACCCCCGGCCCCGGGTATAGGAAGTGTGTGTGTTCCGACTATCAAACCTTGGGATTAATGAACCTCCGGTCTAATGAAATTCCGAACTATATCGAGCGGATCGGACGCCGCTGCAGCGAGGCCATCGCAACCATCGTACTTCTCCGGCTGTTGAACACGGAAGAGTGCACACAGGTCTGCACAAAACGTGTTTTCATTTTTTTTTTGGTCATTTGGACCTTGTATAGATCAGTATTCCGGCGGGTGTCACATAATTGACAGCCATGAGCATTTGTTTTCTTCAAATCAATTAATATGCAAACTAGCTGTCGCCATGTGGTAAAATACAAGTTTTGTGTATACCTCTGCATGATTTCGTCCTAACTTCTCAATCAAGGTGACTAGGCCGTGTTTGGGGGTCAAATGATTCATTAAAGCCACTTCTTCAACTTTTATCACTACATAACTACTTATACGGATTGGGAAGAACAATGGGAAATTGAAGATAAAATTGCAAAAGTATCGCCCTTAAAAAACCCTCCGTGAACATTAGCTGCAAAACTGGCTGAGACATTCGCTAAAAAGCAAATTTCTGATAAACCGACACTTTAGAATGTACATATTTACCGTATGCCAAGGACGCATGACACACACTATACTTTAGGAATGGTCTTAGAATGATACTTGACACTCAAAACATGGGTTTAGACACCTTACTTGTGTAGTTACGAGCAATATTGGCCGAGATATGCCAAAAAAGTGATATTCCGGTAATGGCGGCATTCCTTCGGTGCACTTATTTGCATATCCTATGCCGCAGACACATGTGGTCACTTCCAGAATAGTTTTATTGTGTTCTCTGACCCTGAAAACATGGGTAAAGACACCTTATTCGTTCAGTTATTTGCAATATTGGCTGAGATACAGTGAAAAAAAATGTTTCGGTAATGGCGGCACTAAATTGCATAAAAACAATACGTTTAAAAAAAAAATTGAATTTTTTAACATAGCAAATCGTTTTCTACGCATTTTTTCTTACCTGGAGACGTCGATTAGGCCCAAAAAAAGCCTCCGGTTTCTGGTATGGAGCTTGCCCAAAAAGTGGTGCGGCGACGCGGCTTTTTTTTTTTTACCTGATTTTTTTGCTTCAAATGTCGGCTGATGACTGCAAATGGTGCCCGACTAAACTTAGTGCAAATATATGGGAGTCCACAGAGGCCACATAAAGCTTATTCTCGACCATAACCCCATCTCAAAACACGTTAAAATTGTGCGGCAGCAGGATTCCAGTCAAACCAGTGAGTTTGGCGGTTTTGAGACATCATCTTTCATTGAAAAAAAAACTTTTCATTTTGCCGACGCGCATGGCTACGGCGACACGCGCGCATACCAGAAACCGGAGACTTTTTTTTTTGGCCTTAGAAGTTGATTTCCGAGGGTGCACGATACCCCCTTCTTCCCACACAACTACATTGTTGGATCTCACAAGACTCACAAGACTCACTCTGTCACAATATTCCCACTTGATTATGCTCCTCCCCCTTCCCGCCACATGTGGGTAGTAGCTCTTCTTTAGGAAAAATGTGGCCAAGGCACTGAATTAGCATTCTAGATTGTAGAGGATAAGCAACAAAATGATGTGGAATTTTCATTAAATCTGACAGTGTTGTTTGAGACCATTATCATCACCCTAAAATATTTGACCATGTTCGATTTCATTCTCACTGAGGTTCATGCTATCTAGTGGCTTTCATTTGCTGTGTTATGTAATGCAGGTAATTTTATTATCCATTCAGGACGTTGTTGACAAAAAGTAGACGACAGACCTCGCTCACTCGCACCATTAAAGTGTCCATTGAGATATAAAACGTTTCATAGCTCCATGATTTGTTACAGTGTCGCTGCACAAAAAGTAGCACCGTGGAGAGCAGTGAAACCCAACCGACCTTGCATATTAAATGAAATATTTACACATAATATACGCCGTAAATTCATTATTATTTCAACATTACTACCCAGCAATTCTAAACAATATTCTATTCACAGCAATCAGCAGACCACCAGGCCTATTAAAGTCTACTAATACAAAATACGCACTTTGGCGTCTGGGTATAAAGATTACATATTGAACATCACGGGGATAGTATATATTAACTACAAAACCTGTTGAACAAAATCATGAACCAGTGCCGTAACTACAGGGGGGGGGCTTAATTGTCCGCCCCGGCCCATTTTAAATTTTTAATTGAACAAAATATCAGTATATAAAGTATATGATAGTTTATCCAGTGTCCCCTTCAAAAATCTGTGCACATAATATTTACACATAATATACGCCGTAAATTCATTATTATTTCCACATTACTACCCAGAAATTTTGAACAATAAGTTATAGCCAAGCAAATTATAACCACACAGTGCAACCCAACTCCGAGAAAAACTAGTTCTCAGTAATCAAACTGAGAAAAACCGTTCTGAAGGAGTTACTATCAACTATTCTTGAGGAATTACTATTGACTGTAACTGAGGAATTTAATGCTATCGACTTTTCTGAGGAATTACTGTCGGATGTTCTGAGAAATTACTATCGACTGTTCTTAAGGAACTAAATGTAAACTGTTCTTGAGGAATTATTAATCAACTGTTCGGGAGGAACTACGTGTTCTTTTATGCCTCCAACTTGCCTGTCGAAAAGATGCCCTGTGTGACAAGTTCTTGGTTGCCTTTTTATATAGAGTTTATACAGAGTCAGGTGAGGTCCAATGTTGACTGAACGTGAAACTATCTCTAGTATTCAAAGTTGACTGTCGTTGTGTACTAATCCTGTTCGTCGCTGTCATCGTAGAGATAGTTATTCACCTCTAGCCCACGATGTCGGTATCGACAACACCAGCCCCACGCCCCAGCAATACACGATCCTAAGCGACGCAAGCATCCATGGCGCCATATAGCCTTCATGCCGGTCCAGAACAAGCTAGCTATAGAGATGAATGCAGAGAAAAAGATACTAGTTTCCTTGTACTAGTTACTAGAAGGTACTTTTGTTATAACAGTAATTATTCTGATTGTGAAAGCTAAAAGCTCTTCTGACCAAATTTCAATACTAAACAAAGGGTCAGGTTTTTTTATTACTCAGAATCATACTGTCATCTGCAAGATGTAAAAAGATCGTTAAGATGCAACAAGTAGATGGGAATTGATTCTTACTGCAAAAACGATGATACTGAGGTTCATTAGTACAAGTACTACAGAAAGGACATCCTTTCTATATTGGCTGGATTGGGCATCCTCGCTTGGCAACAGAAGCAGTGACGCAGCCAATAGATTCAGGAAAATGGTACCAAGCGAGCACATCTGCAGACGATGCTCGGCAGCATCCTTCATGGGTTTGACGTAAGCGTGCAGGAGCAGAAAGCCCACCGATATGACTATGGTTGCGAACATGGTGAAGTGATCGTAAGGCCCGTATAACAGCACAAACAGCGTCTGGACGATCTTGCGGGCCAGCTCCAGAATCTCCCAGTACCAGAACCTTGGCTTGTAATTCTCGCACAGGAAACTCTCCCAATTAAATTCAGCCTGGCTAGGCGGTTCCGTGTGCAGGAGTTCATCATCTGTCTCTCCAGGCACCTCGTTATTGTAACTGGCGACACGACCGGCATCCAAACGACACCGACTAGCACCATCGAGCAAAGGCTGATCCTCACTTTCCCGTCTACCACCGACAGCCCCGGTCTTCTTCCGTTTTCTGACGTTCCACCACATGAGAAGAAACAACACCAAGGGAAACCCAACAACGTAGAAGAGAAAGACCTCAGCTGCGTGTGTGAACTGAACATGCTGCTGTGTTTGGCAATCGATCGAGTAGTCGGCTTGAAGTCTGGTCACATTGAGGGTGTCATTTTCGTCCATGTAGAAGAGGTGACACCCAGAGGGCAATAATGTGAGGATAACACTAGACAGGCTGGGGTAGGAAATGAAGAGCAGTATCACCACAAACAAGTAACACCTCTGCTTGGTCTGCGATAGAAGACCTTTTCGTTCCCCACGCGATATTTTCTTTGTTTTCGAGTAACACCCCTTGGAAATGTAGAAACACCAGGCTGCAAGCAGAACGAACACCACAAAACTAATGCCGGCCAAGAACTCAATGTAAATATTAGGATAAGTGAAGTTGGGAACATAACATCTGGGACTGATAAACAATCGGATAATGTTCATCTCCAACAGTCTAAAGATAGATCCAACGCTTGTTAATATCTTCGGCCATGCAATTTCATCCAACGCCGAGAATATCTCCCCCATGACCTGGTAGAAACCCAGTAGGATCTTCCCTCGAGCAAGCAGCATGCTAACGGCAGACCGACCGTTTCTTCGGACCTTACGTACCTGCCAAGCTATGATAATGACAGTCAGAGCAATGGCCACGCATACAGCAATGACTTCAAGCAGGAACCACCACCATTTGGGACACTCAAAACAGTGATCGAACCAAGGGTAAAAGTGCGGACTGCATTTGGGAGCAAAGCCAACCCGTGTAGCCTTCCTCGCACGTTGCATTGATACCACCCAGTACAGCATTCACGCACGACTCACTGTGAGGACATTTATGCACTTTGGGTAACACACCCGAAAACCTCTTGCTTGTTTTGTCATAGCTGGAATCTTCAGTGCGCACATTTTGGACGAATCGCTCGTAGGATAGGTAGTTATCATCCGACAAACCCCAGTTCCAGGTCCACCAGAAGCCAGGCAGGAGGTGTTGATACTCCTCTGAGCAGTTGACTCCTTC